TGGGGAAACTTGTGGCGGAGGCTTTAAATCACCGGCGCTAACGCCCGTAACGTCCAGTTCACAGAGCTGGCTCCAAGAGCCTATCGGAATATTAAAAACTTAAATAAACTATAAAATTATTCAAATAGACATTCAGGAAAGCCAAAAAACATCTTGTGTGTACGTATTTCCCAGTCAACAGAGAAAAGTTTCTTCTATGCTGCTTCACGTGAGAAAATTGTTATAGTGTTGATTTGAGAGTAATTTAAAAATATTTTGCCAATAGGCAGTTCAGTTACGGAGAAAAAATAAAATGCCTCAAAGTATGTCTCAACTGCAAAATACTGAGCTCCCATCTCCCCTGACTGCACTCCTCAGTGAATATTCGTAACAGAATCAGCTCCTCAAAACCGAGCGCGGAGCAGCCTTAGCCATTGAACACCAAGTCAGTTTTGAGACTCTTAAAAGTCAGAGTGCATTTGGTGAAAAAGCCTATGTCAACGCTAAAACCTCACAGACGGTACAACAGACAAACACAAACATGATGACAATTAAAAGCTGGAGGAGGAGTGACCGAAGAGGTTGCTCAAGGTCTATTCCATTCGTAAAAAAACGAACTCCCTGACAGTTTATAGGTCTCGGTGGTAGAGGCCAGAACACCAGCTAACACGGCATGCACCATCACGCCAGATCAGCAGTGTTTGGTCTCAGCATACGTATGGAAAACCACCAATGTCAACCATGTGCCTTTCTCTGAAAAAACATCCTGGGACAAAGCAAGTAATTAGCTCAGAAAAAAACAGAGGCACCAACGGACACAAAAACTTACAACTTTGACAAGTTATTCTAGAAAAAGTGATAGAAGAGTACAAAAATGATGGCGTGAAACAATTCTAGGATGCAGACCACAAAATTAAATTTACTCTTCTATCAGAAGATGGCTACTTATATGGGATGATCGTCATGCACCAAATAATTTATCAAGCTGAGGAATCTGTGGCCAGGGGGCTTAAAGAGGTTTTACTATATATATATATATATACATAGGTTAGCCAAAAGCTGGGAAAATGAAAAAGTGGATACTGAAACTCAGTCATAATGCAAACTACACATCTGAATTAACAAAAAATAGAAATGGGAATAAGTATTTGTGGTATTTGTTTTGAGCTAGGACTTACAATCATCTTTTATGCTGAAGACGGGAAGTGAAACTTGTTTCTGAAACTGTCAAGTTCAGAGATTCCAAAATCTTTAAAGAAGATTCACTTCCTTTGGTAAAGTGTTTCAAAGTTACTCCTGCACTTCCCACATATGAAAGCTCTGATTAACAGAATGGCAAGTTAACACCGTAACACAGAATCTCATAACTGCATTTGCCCATATTCAACAGTAGCCAGCATAAAAACTTAAACCCTAAATGGGTAACTAAACATGTTACACCAAAACCACGGTTTGACAGAACATGGTGATCGGTGCCCTTACTTTCTCATTTTATGTACAAATCACAAGCTTTAGCTTACACAGCAGAAATTAATCCTGCATTTTTCCCCCCCCTGCGACTGGTTCCAAAGAAGTAACCTTCATTTCACACCAGGTGTCATGACAAGCAGAGGTGGTCTGCTTGACCGACGGCATTACAGCAATACCACTGAACTACAGGCATAACCGATGCCGAAAACAACTTCGTACCTTGAATCCCCTTTACCTGTAAGAAGTTTTACCTAGACTTACCATATAAGCCATATCACACCAAGAGCCCTGGCTGCTGTTTTGGAAATTAAGTACTGCTGTGTTACGTTTGAAGGAGGACAGTTAGGGGTTTCTGTGAAAATCAGTCTCATAAAACAGGGGAATGAATCTTAGTACCTCAAAAAGAGCACAGGAACAGTTTTGTTCAGATTAGCAACTGAATACATTTATACTTTTGGAACTTGTAAAAACCTGCGAAGGAACTGTCACTTACTCTGTGTGGCCCTGAAAGACATTCACAGAATGGATAGAAGGATCTCTGAAATCCCACAGACGGAAGGTTGTATCGCGTGATGATGTCACCACAAGACGTTGGGTGGGATGTGTACAACAATGTGTTAGCTCTTGGTCATGCCCTACAATCACAGATGAGAACATGTGAGGGAATGAAAGCAAGACTTTTAATTTCCACATACACTTGGAATGAAATGCTGATGATTTTATCTTTTTCCCCCAAACAGAAAAGAGTAGTAACAATCATTCTGAACTTTAATGTTACTACTGCTGAAAAAGTTTGGAACTGTACTTAAAAGCAAAAAAGCCCACTACTCATTTCACACTGTTAAGTAGTGATAGGTTACTGCTTCAGAACATGCCATGAACACAGCAAAAGCATTTTGCAAGAACTAAAATTTGGCTACATTCCGTTTAAAACCCACTACTTTCATAGGTTAGATCACAAGCTAAAATAACACAAATTCATGCTCAGAGGATTTACAGGGTCAGAGTTTTAGAAACCATTAAAACATTGCGCAGCAGCTTAAGTCTTGTACACATTTGCATCGTACTCCAGAGGAACAACTTACTTTTCCCAGTGTTTTCAGTAACCACTAATTTACCTTTTTGTGAGTGAACAAATACCTGTGAGAGAATGGACAAGTTCGGAAGTCTCTACATCATACAGATTTGCTGTCCTATCCCATGACGCTGTCACAGCCTGCTTCCCCCCAACAAGCCAGTCGGCTGCTATGACCACTCCTTGATGGCTTTTCAGTGAAGTTAATGGGCCTCTGACAGTGGGACAATCACTAGAACCATCTCCATCTCCATCAGGTTCATCTTTATCTGAGAATTCAACTTCATCTTCTCCAGACACTTGCTACAAAATGGAAGAGAAAAGAGATTTAGAATAAAAGGGAAGGGAAGTCTCTAAGTTACATTTTACAGTGTAAATGCTTCCCAATCCCCTTAATGTGACTGTGGGCAACTTCATTCTGTAGAATCTAGCCTATTCAGGTGCTCACGATCAAAAACTTAGTTGGAGGAACAATACCAGTGAGTTAAATGCAGTTTTAATAGCTACTGCATTTTAAAATATCTTCTGAACTGCTTAGCTCTGAGTACCTGTCCCCTTCACTATCTGGTAAGTCTTTTTATATTCCCTTTACTATATTACCCTCGAGTTTCATTGCAGCACATGTATCAAAGGACTTTCTTCCTTTCTATTTTTAAGGGTAGGAAGCATCTAACAAGACACCGACTATTCTAATCTCTAGGAAGACAATCATTTACAGCCACCTTTTCATCCATTAGAATCAAAACCATGGCACCAATATTTGGCTGGTGGTTGATACACAGTTACCATGCAGTGCTGATGTAAACTGGATGCAAAATAAATTCTTTTGCTAACCATGAAGCATCGACCTCTGAAACCTATTTCACTTACGCAAGACAAATACGCTTTTCTGTCATGATATTTGGATGTGAAAAAGATAACATTTGTACTGCTCTTTCAAAATGGAAATGCCAAATCAAACACTTTCTGTTTGGAAATCTATCTCATTATACAGCCATCTCTTGCCCCTACTCAGCTTACTGAGAAGCTAATGCCACGAACTATGTTTGTCTTCACAATTTGGTAACAGTGCTTTTAGGTCAAATACAGCATTTGACAGTCTACAGTAAATACGGACATAATAAAAGCCTGGGACAAGAACATCAGGTAGTGTGATGAGTGCTGGCAAGGGTCAATCAGAAATCAATGAACATACAATCAAATGCCAAAAATAGAAGTCTTTACCATCAATTTCCAATTCATAGCAACTATAGCTAATACAGGTGTCTCAGTAAGTTAAGCTATAAGAATTTAACTTGCTTAAAAAGTTTAAAAATAACTTCATTATTTACGATTTGAATTGTTACCAAAAAAATTTTACTCGACAGTTCATTTACTTCCATGTTTATTACCTTGAACAAAAAGTCAATGTAATTGCAGCTCCATATTCTATTCTGCACCACAGATCTCTGAAAACATGAAGTGAGCCTTTTTTGAAAGAAAGGCTGAAATGTATCTGTTAAACTAAAACCTTAAAATCCCACCTTTTGCAATCCTGAAATCATGTGATTTTAAATTATGTATATATTTAACATTCAGTCTTTTCATAGACCCTGTATCTGATGAAATTGCTGTGCAATTAGTTTAGTTGCAGTAAGCTGATTGCTTACATTGCAGTCTGCAGTTGGCTGAGGTGCAGGCAACTGTACTATGTATCTCCAGATGTGAGCTGTCTGGTCTCCAGATGCTGCACAGGGGGAAGAGAGGTAAAAAGAGAGACACACTAAATAAGAGCATTTCCACAGACAATAAAAACAAGCTTTAACACTACATTTGGCAATGCTGTCCAAGTTGCATCTTTTTCTAACAGATACCCTTATGACCTTTTTGGTAAGCAAGTCTCAACACCAGCGGTTACCTTCCTGGCTTCAATACTGATACAAACATAACTCATGCAAAATATAAGTAGCTACCAAATTCATCATTCCTACAGTGAAAACATTCACTTAAATACTATACATCAGAACACGAGTATCCCTGCTGTTCTAATACACAACATTTGAAGAAGGCATTTAACACATCAACAGGTGCTGTCCTTCATTTGCTATTTCTCAAAATACTGGGGTGGTTCTTCATTCAATGATTTCTTCCATTAAATGTTTTTAGAATGTTTTTAATGACAAACTCAAAAGATCAAGCGTGAAGCTATTCTGCTTCTGTCTTAAGCAACTCAGCTTAACTAGCACCAGTTTACAGCTCAGCAGGTGCCATCTGATTTTATCCTTCATTTGTTTTTGAAATGGATTTATCCATTATTAACTAAGGAGAAACTCAAGATTCTCCTTGTTATGGACAGAACAAACAGGCTGTAATACCTAGGGGTACAGTGCTGAGAGTTCTAGATAGAGCAGAAAAAGTTTGTTGTGAGTATGCATAGCTCTGGCAAACACAATGTACATGAAACACTAGGAAAAATATCTCGTCTAACAGACCAAGTATGAAGGCTAGAAGAAAGGTCAACCTTGTATTATTTCTGGTGTCACTATTCTGCATCAGGGAGGAAGGTATTTTTATTGTCATCAGTTCTAAATCAATCAAGTGACACTTAAGAACAGCTCCCCTGAAAACTTTCAACAGACATACTTTGCAGAATCACCGCTCAGAAAAATAACACAAGAACAAAAATCTAGCTATGGGCAGCTTTTGTTTGTTTGGTTTGGTTTTTATAAGTCAGTTTATACAGTAACATTGTTTATGGTACTGAAACAATGGCTACAGTTAGCATATGAAAACAGGAAAATCCAAATAGCCAAACTCAAATCATTGTTAGCCTAGATAGAAGGCATTCTACTCCCCACCTTCCTTTAAAGTGGTCACTGTAGATGAAGAAAGGAGTGTTTTAATCTCTAAACTCAGTAATAATTATCCTTGTTTTACAATAACTTACCTGATAGCAGCAAATTGAATCCAGATCTCTTTAACCCCTATAGCTGGACCACATGAACCATAGTATTAGCCACATTAGCCTATTTTCAAACCTGAAGCTGCACTGAGGGTATTCTCACTCCTGAAAACACTTTTACACTAGCAGTCACATCTGAGCTGTTTTTTCTGCACACTCAATATCACAATATTCTTTTCCTTTACTTCTGGATATACCATGTATTTCAAAAGGGTTAAGACAGAACAGAATAGAATATTTCAGTCGGAAGGGACCTACAACGATCATCTAGTCCAGCTGCCTGACCAATCCAGGGCTGACCAAAAGTCAAAGCACGTTATTAAGGGCATTGTCCAAACACCTCAGACTGACAGGCTTGGGACATCGAGCTCCTCTCTAGGAAGCCTATTCCAGTGTTTGACCCCCCTCTCGGGAAAGAAATGCTTCCTAACATCCAGTCTGAACCTCCCCTGGTGCAGCTTTGAACCATTCCTACACGTCCTGTCACTGGAGACCAGGCAGAGAAGATCAGCATCATCCTCTCCATGGCCCCTCCTCAGGAAGCTGGAGAGACCGATGAGGTCGCCTCCCAGACCCTTTTTCTCCAAACAGGACAAACCCAAAGTACTTAGCCGCTTGTCACAGCACATTCCTTCCAGCTTTGTTGCCCTCTTCTGGACATATTCAAGGACCTTCACATCCTTCTTAAACTGTGGGGCCCAGAACTGCACACAGTGCTCAAGGAGAGGCTGCACCAATGCTGAACACAGAGGGACAATCAACACTTTTGCCCAGCTGGTCATGCTGTGTTTGATGCCCTCCAGGATGCAGTTTGCCCTCTTGGCTGCCAGGGCACGCTGCTGACTCCTGTTGAGCCTGCTGCCATCTAGCACCCCCAGATCCCTTTCTGCAGAGCTGTCCTCCAGGCACTCCTCTCCAAATTTATACCTGTGGCTGGCATTACTCCATCCTAGATGCAGAATCCAGCTTTTGGACTTATTAAATTTCATCCCATTAATCATTGCCCAGTACTCCAATCTATCTAGAGCCCTCTGCAAGGCATCTGTCCCTCAAGAGAGTGAACAGCATCTCCCAGTTTGGTATCATGAGCAAACTTGCTAATGGTGCATTCAACTCCTGCATCCAGATCGTTGATAAATGCATTGAACAGAACTGGCCCTAGAATTGAGCCCTGAGGAACACCGCTGGTGACTGGTCACCAGCCAGATGTAGCCCCACTCACTACAACTCTTTGAGTCCTGCCCTCCAGCCAGCTCTTCACGCAGCACACCGTGAACCTGCTCATCCCTCAGCTGGACAACTTGTCCAGAAGAATGCTGTGAGGAACAGTATCAAAAGCCTTACCAAAATTCAGAAAAACTACATCCACCACCTTCCCTTCGTCCACTAGGCAGGTGACCTTACCATAGAAGGATATCAAATCAGTTAAACAGGACTTTCCCTTGGTGAACCCATGTTGACCGTGCCTGATGATTGCTTCGCTCTTTAAATGCCTTTCAGCAGTACCCAGCATGATCTTCTCTGTAATTTTTCCAGGAACTGAGGTTGGACTAACAGGTCTGTAGTTCCCTGGGTCTTCCCTCACACCCTCCTTGCAAACTGGAATAACATTGGCTAGCTTCCAGTCAGCAGGGACCTCCCCAGACTCCCAAAACCTTCGACAGATGATTGAGAGGTGTTCTGCCATAACATCCACCAGCTCCTTCAGGGCTCTGGGATGAATCCCATCAGGCCCCACAGACTTGTGAACACTCAGCTGATGTATGAGTCTAAGTGTCTGTTTCAGAGCAGGTAAGCACAAACGACAATGATACCACAAACACAGATGGGAAGACCTGGCTCTGATTTGTTATGCCTTAAAACATACAAAGAATTCAATCAACACTGACACTGACAAAGCAGTAGGGAGAGGGACTACAACCAGAAAGATGGTAGTGAGTGACACTTATTTTTCCATCATAATTAACATACTCAGCATATGAAAAAACTTTACATACCTGTAAGAGCCACTTGCTCAGTTGGATGAAACTTTATGGAATTTACTGTGTGAAACAAAGGACATTTTTAAACTAGTTACTAAAAGAATTATTTCACAATGTTTTATCACTAAAAGCATTGAAAAAAATGCTTCAGTTTTAAGCAATTTTCTGTAGTACAGCAATCTCGTAGGTGAGATAAAGCACAACAACATTTTATTTGAGTACGTACATCTATGTAGTATCAAGGAAAGCAGCTATAGTTGATTATACAACAGTATGTATTTTCTAGCAAGTTATTTCCTGAATCTAGTACAAGGTTTCTTGTTATGGAGGATAAACAAGGCACATTCAAATAATCATGTGTAAGCTGACAGGAGACAATGCTCTGGACTTCCATAAGGAGAATTTAAGTATTCGTAACTATCTCTAACATAATGAAAACTTACTATATATGGCCATCAACTTTCTGATTATTATTTAAGATTGCAAGAACAAAAGCCTGAAAACCCAATGCAAATAATACAAATTAGATTTCAGTCCTGCAACCATATGTAATCAAAACATGATCATTTCAAAATAGTCCTGCAAGAATTCTGTCAGCCTACAAAGCTGCCCTTCATTTTCTGTTTCAGTGCATAAGATTCAATTACTTTTCATTACTAAGGACTTTCATTTGCAAAAATCCATAAGCTTCTCTTCAACAGTTCTTCAAGAAAGAACTTACATATCATTTCCATCCATCATACAAGCAAAATAGATGCTTATGTTGTCAGGAGAGTGTGGTGTAATGAGTCTAAAAAGATACTCCTTAAATTGTTCACATTGAAATAACTCAACAGTACACCAGCTGCTGGCACCCAACACCTTTGCTCCATTTCAAATCAACTGTCAAACGTAAACAAGTAAAAGTTTTACTAAATGAAAAATATAGGGGGTTTAATATAATTAATATAAATTTATATCATTTTTATAAATTATAGTGTATATAAATCTGCATTTTTTTTTAACTTAGTTTACACACAGCTGTTTAAATACAGGTTAGAGTTTCTATTATTTTCATGATTATCCAAACAGGAATTAAAAAAAAAAAACAACAAAAAAAAAAACCCAAGAAAACAACAAACCTATCAGCATGAAAATGCAAGTGATTGGATTTTTTAAACGTGACTTTATGGAGGCTAAAAGCACCTCTCCATGCAGCAAGCAACCTAAGATATCTGAATGAATTAAAGTGTTACCCATTGTTTCTCTGCATCTATCTATTAGTACCTTTGCGCTGCAGAAGCTAGAAGTCAAATAGGAGGAAAAAAAGAGAAAACTCATGGTTGAAGCAGCTGACGACTCTGTGGAGAACTTAATTCTATTTCTACCTTTGCCACAAAGTTCATGTGATGTGCCAGCTGAGTTACTTAACCAAACACACCAGGTCAGTAAATGCGTTCCTGATTTTCTGGGTGCATGCCTCTACACTCCAGGGTATGATCACTCAAAGTGCTCAACTCTCAACAGCAAGCTAAAGCTACGGAAATCCTCCCCACCTTTGGTCTATAAAACCCTGTATTGTGAACTGCTATGAGATAGAAAGGGGCTAACCAGGTGCTTGTCCAACTGGACACCAAAAATTAACATCAAAAACACTCACTGTACTGCACCTCTCCAACCAAGGAGGGGTTTAAAAACACTGTTTCTGAAATATTGATACTGGTATAGAGGAAGACAAATGCCTATATTGAATTAATTATCTTCAAAACAACACTTTAATACTACGCAGCAAATTATGAGATCATGTATTGAACGAAGAAGTGCAAATAGATGTTCACCCAGCAAAACAGCTAATCAGCTATCCCAAACGGCTGATTTCTGATTATATAAGCTTCTCTTGTTCTGCATATGCAAGAGACCTAAATGACATTTAACTTCTGAGTGTCCTAACTGTGCCTGTAAATTTCTTTATATGGACTCGTTTATTCATTTCTTTACAGAGCTGTCTTAATATGCCTCTCCAAGAAAGAATCATATTACAAAACATTCTCTGGATGAAGATGAGTGGAACTTCACAATTAACATTAACAGTGTTGGCACACCTGCAAGCGAAACTGCAATAAACATTTTTGTAGTCCAAGACGCATTTCCCCCTCCCAGACTGTTTGCAGTTTTCAAAACATGCCCTTATCTTACCTGATCCAACATGCCCTACATACTTGACAAGGCACTTCCCTGTTTCTATGCTCCACAGCAAAGCAGTGTGATCTACGAAGATTAAAAAGTAGCTGTAAATGTTGTTACAAATGTATGTTTTTCACTTTTAACCAACTCAACAAACAAGTTATCTTTAAATGTAGAGCGTACCATATGAAACAGATTTCAAATGCAGAACAGACCAAATCCTCTCAATTACCACCTCATATCATTATAACTTAATACAAATCTCCCCAAAAAGTCATGGTGCTGTCCCAATCAGATTAATTTGCAGTAAGTATCGAAAGGCAAATTCTACTTTTGATATTTTTCCTAACTTGGTTATGTACTTATGTATAATGCTCCAACTGTGTATCACGAGATTCAGGAAGAACACAGAAAGCATTCAGCGGTGAAAAAGTCAGGCAGTCACTGCAAACAAGAGTTCTACGCACAAACTATTTACTTCCTGCATAGAAGTCCCAAATGCACATAGGTCACCCCAGAGCACTACAAAAACTTATTAAAAAGGAAATCACTCCAAATGCCACTCCTTTATCCCTCCACACCCCAAAATAAATAAATAATATAAGTATTTGTAACTGGGGAGAACCTTAATGCTGAATTGGAGAATGGTTGTTTCCAAGTTAAATCAGGACAAAGACAAGACACCCCACACAAAGACAAAATGTGTCCCTCAGTAGGCACATAAAAATTATAACAATTCACTTTATGAAGCAGAGGTTTCCGGTCCATTATATTAATGTCAAGTGTCTTCAAGGTTCTGTTCCAGCTTCAAAAGACTGTCACTTTGAATTGATCAATTCTAACCGGTTATAGTTTATTTCCCTAATAATTTCCCAAAACCACACAAGCCTCTAGACTGATTTTCGGATCATAATAGATTTAGTGACTTATTCATTAGCACCTGCTCCCTTTCAAGTGGGAAGGAAGGAATCTACTACATTAATAAGAACTGAAAATTAAGATTTTTAGCTGCCCCTACATCCTTAGGCAAAAGCCAGATGAACGTAAGAACACAAGAATATGCAAACTATCACTAAGTCTTCTATAAAACAAAGGCTAAGCAATACTATGGTAGAAAGTCTGCGGGGATCTCTGTATACAGCCATACAGCACCCTGTGCGAGAGACCTCTCCAAGCAAGCAGCTCCTCAGCCCACTCATTTACATCATCCAACAGGCTAGAGCTGACTTGAAGGAGGGCGTGACCTGCACGGAAGTTAACTGGCACATACTTTAGAAAGATCAACAAGGATGCCTGAACCTTCTAGAGGTTAAATACATTTCAAGGAAACTCCAATTTAAGAATTTTTCAGCTACTGAACATCTTTAGATCGACCCTTTTCAGTGTGGAGCTAAGTATTCAAGTTTGCTTTTGATCTACATTTGCTATCGCGTAGGGACCAAACCAGAATTTTCTAAAGATTCAAGCAACACAAGACTTTACCAGCAGATGCAGTTCCCAACACCACTGGTTGAGTTTTCGCGACACTGACATCCCAAATACCATCCCTGTGGCCAACATATTCCTTTACCAGTTGACAGATTGCCCTCGATGTTGTAGTTTTAAAACTGGATACAATCTGAAATAGCAGAGACACCAACATATTTTTTTTCCACATTGACCCAAAATTAAGTAATTATCTCACAAATACAAGTAGATACTAACTTTTTCATAAGGATTCTTCAGTGTTCTGACAGTTCACTATTGTCAAAAATGTGACATCTGGTGGCAGGAAAGTGAGTTTGGTTGCAAACATACCTTTTAATTTCTTTTTTTTTTTTCTTCTTTTTTAATAACACTCCCCTTTTTACAGAACACAAGATAAACTATTCTGTATTACACTAACGCAATCTCATAGGAATAATGAGTTGTACAAATGCAGTGTGCGCCCCCCATTCAGTTTGGGTAAACCAAAAAAACCTCAAAACTTCCCTTGCCTATTCCCAAACAAGTACATCTGATAACTTAAAGATGGCCCATGTTACCCAGTGTAATGTCTAAAAAAATCTACTTATTATATAATTCTAGTCAAATCCAGAAACATTCCCATTTAAAACACTCACTGCTGTTTTTCTTCAAAACTGCACAAAGCTAATCAAACCTCATTAACCTGAGAAAGCCAGTTTATTTGTGTAATAAAGCATTTTTTTTAAAGATATGTCAAACTCATCTAAATATCTGATAAGCACATTCCCTCAAAGACAACGCTATTAGGAGAAAACAGGGAAGACTCATTAAATACAAATTAGTATGTGCGTAAGTAATGCCAAATGAAAAGAAGAAAATGTCTAGCAAAAATAGTAAAACTAAAGGCGCTATAGTATAGGAAGGCTGAAAACAATATCTACAGAAAGGAACCAAATTGCAGAAATTCTACATTCTCAGATAAAGGGGAGTGCGATGTTCAAAAAAAAAAAAAAAAGGTTGTCTTGCTAGAATACTTTAGAGACAACTGAAATCAAGAGTGGTGAAAGATGACTTCAAAAAGCAAAACCACTGTTAAAAACACCCTGGTTTTACCCCACAAGCCCTTGAAGCTCATAAGCATTCTTTGAGAAAGACTATCTGAAAAGCTTCGTAAAAACTGAAACGAAAAGATGACTTCAATTTATCAGTGTTTTCCTCTGCATGCAATTATGGGCAGGTATCTATCTGACCAGTTAAGTCAAAACCTTTAAGTGCTTCAACACAAATCACATTAAGATTTATCTACAGCTTAGTAAAAGTTAGAAAATGAATTAAGTCTACATTTCAGAATCAATAAACTAAGGTTAAAATCCCATTAGTTTTTGGTATCAAAAAAAAAAGGGCTTAAGTATGTCATTAAAGCAAATTACTTCCAAAAAGGTTTTTAAAAGTTAAAGAATATCTGCAAGAGCATTCCAAATCCTGAGTGTGTCAACGTTCCAATGATGAAACGACAATGCCCTAGCTGAATTCCAAATTAGCAGCTAATACGCATTTCGGTTTCACAGCAGAAGAAGGAACAATCATTAAGGATGCACTGAAAAGCAAATGGGTTAATGGTAAAGATTATTAGTTCAACCATACTGCAGAGTTTCACAGGCTTCGACTACGATCCTACAGATGCAACTTTCAAGTTGAATATAGTCCTTAAACTAAGCGGAGTCGTGTATGAGAAGTGGAACAGCAGAATTAGGTAAACAGGTAAGGACTAAGATAGTCCTCAGCTCAAATCCCAGACCTGAAGTTTTTCGACACTCGAACTATGCCTGCATTCTGTCTTTCTAATGCTGACACAAATCCTCATGCAAAAATTTTCTAGGAGAAACCTATCTCCGTGTAAACCAGCACAGATTTTCCAAAACTGCTGGACAGTGGTTTCATTGATCATTTAATGGCAAGGCTGTAGAATTCCTTTTGGAGTATCAGCAGCCTTGAATGAACACACAGAAGACAAGAGTTCAAGACCACTACCTAACACTAAATATCCAGATATAAATATTTATTTAACGCACACTTTTTCTACACTTTTTTTTCTTCTTTCTTTCTTTTTTGCTGTCCCTCATTTCACTTACCAGTAATTGGATAAACTAGATAGTGCCTGGATTACTTCCTGGTTCCTTAACCATGGAGTTTTCCAAGAAAGGAAAGGAAATACTTAAATAACATGCAACTTGCTAAAAAGAGGCCTTTGTACTGCACAAAATTTTTTAAATAACTGCAGCAGATCTCAGATTATCATATACAAACACAAATAAGTGGGCAAGCATATCTTCTGTTTCACCTTTGTCTTCTTTCTTAAATCCATATAGTTTCATGGACTTTCTTCTATGGAGACGTGTTAGTAAGGAAGCAATTGTTTGCCACGTAATCAATCGAAAATTGAAAATTGAAACACTGTGAAAACAACTGTTTACCACAGAAACAACTGAAAACTGAATATAAATTGAAACAAAGGCATGGCAAAAATTGAACCATGTACAAATGTCTCCTAAGCAGACAGGACACATTAGAAGTAAGAATGAAAAACCTTGATCAGCTCAGGACCACTCCAGCAGCATTACACTGTGACTGATGAACAGTTTCCTATGGAGCAACATGAAGCAGTGAGCTCCAAAACCACATCTCCCAAAGTTTTATTCCCTTCAACTGCTGGGTGAAGAAATAGGTTCCTTTAAGAGTTCTTTTTCCTGACCCAAAAGAATCAGAGATCCTGAAAGCTATTTTATGATGGAGCAAGTTGTATCACTTCAGTTTATTTTAGGACTCTGCATAAACTGTTGTCTTCCTGAAGTCTAAACAGCTGTCATAGCCAGGGATTGTTAACATCAGCAATACCATCTTGCTAACATCAAAACATGAATTTCACATAACGATTCCTGCATCTACAAACAACTGTAGTTAAATTACAGGATCTTGACCATTAACATATACAAAAAATTATTTTTAGAGTACCAAGCCCTAAATCTACTCTATCTCTTCAGGATTTGGACACTGGTAGAAAACCCCTGCTGCTGAAAACATCCTTTTCTGATACGAGTTTTGCCAACTTACTGTTCAGACTCCTAACTTAGCTATGGGATGAAAAGTATCCACGTACGGTAATTTTCTATGCAGGACTCTAATTAAGCATTTTCCCCAAGAAAATGAACAGATTGCTTTATTCTTAGCATGTTTGACCAATATTAAAGCAGTGAAGGATCGCCTTTCTCATGAGAACAAGCAAATATTAAAAGCTCTTTTCAGACCAAACCTAAACTCTTTATAGGTTGGCAATCAGAAAAATGTAATTGTGTGCAATTACACAAAACAACTGGTTTGTAAAACTTAAAAGTCTCTTCTAATTTCTCACAGGGAAAATTAAATCAAAAATAAACAAAAAAAAAATACTTCCGACAACTTTTAAGTTAGGCATACAGTAGCAGTACAAAGGGTGTACTAAAGAGAAAAGTTGCAATGCACTACTCCGGTGAGTTTGGAACAAGACCTATTTTTGGTGAACAGCATTGTGCATTCAATGCTCATAAAAAATATAGATGTAAGAATTTCAAAGCTGTTGAACTCTTAAAATTCTTCAAATGTCATTTTCCCATATAGGGCATTAGGGAACTCTAACTCCATCCAGCCAGGATACAGACAGAAAGATCATTGTTTGTTAGATACTTAGTTATACTCTGTCCTAACTTTGGGCTATAGCCTCTTTGTGGGTCAAGAGACAAAAGGTTACAGCTTTCACTTTTCTGCGTAGGAAGGAAGAAGCAGTCAAAATAAAGCCACTCCCATGAAGTGCAGAAAGGCTTCAAAGAACACACTGGACAGAGGTGCTCTCAACTTTATCATCTCCCTCAGCTCTCCTCTCTACCCCCAGTAAATTCCGATACGAAGTCGTGGAAAGAAATCTATCTGCACATTCAAACATCTGTTGGTTATCGATTGATACAATAGATGTGTTTGACGCCTATAATAAGGTATTAAATTCTTCATGTTCCACTACTCATGACTACTTTGCTGTGCATGCATATCAGAACACTGGGAAGCAAAGCAGTTACCCAGGAGTCTCCACCCCATACTTCCCAGCTTCCCACGCTGAAGTTGCGAGGTCCACCTGCCTTGCTCGGGAAAGAATATGAGCGCTACGTTGCAAGCAAGTAAAAGAAGACAAGCATTTAACACTAGCCTTAAAGAAAAAAAAAAAAAACAACACAAACAAAAACAACAACAAAAAACCCACACACCACCAAAACACCACCCCAACACTACACTAGAGAAAGTACTGATTCATAACTACACAGTAGGTGTACTAATACTGTACTGTCCGCATTAATATCGTGTCCGTATTTAAGTGGCCTCATAAGAGTTAATGACTTACAAATTCTTTAACGAAAAAGAAAGAGGCAACTTTATGCATCAGATTGGCAAGAATAAAAAAGTAAGTTTGAAAAACAGTAAAATAAAAAGAAAACTAAATAAAACACAGTACCCTAGATCTATTTCACCACACTGTTCTTACTCTCGAACTTTCAGACTACCATAGGTGGAATTTCCAAGACACCTACAGTCATTTCATAACCACACATTAGCTGCATTACAGGTCACCAGAGAGCTTCTTATATAGCTGGTCCACATTCCAGATCCTACTGTGGTTTCCTCACATTTCATTTACCCTTAATAATGTATCATGAAACAACCCTGAGATAGGGCAAAAAAGAGCAGCAGGGAAGTCCTCTATGAAAACTAAAACGGGAAGAGAAAGAGGAAAACGAAAATACCAGACATGCAGATGTGCAAAACAAAAAACATCAGAAAGGGTAATTGTGCTAAGGGATCAAGCAAAAAAAAAAAAAAAAAAGACTAGCTACTAATCACTTGCAACGTGAAGGAAAGAAGTGGTTCTAGTCTCATAGCTGAAAATTAAAAATAATTTTAAAAAACCCCACCCTATAATAGTACACATACAGATGCCCTCTTAAATCCCTGTTTCAGCCGCAATACCCAAATCTTTATTCAGAAATTCACTATTTCCCTCATGAAATTGAAATTAATTTTTTAATTATTTTTTTACAAGAGTAATCCCACATACATACACGTGCATACACCCTCTGCCCTCCAACATTCATTCTTCAAAAAAGTTGAGCAATTACTGTAAAAATGTCATATAGTATGGTTGAAATAATGGGTAATTGATCAATCCAAGATAAACATACTGTTCCTCATGAGGCAGATTTACTTAAAGAACAGCACTACTCAGCTTAAAGAAACCACCATTTACAACTTAAAGACAGCCATGTTAGTCTCACGAGTTCACATTGATAAGCAGAGGTTTAATTTGTCTCATACCTTGCTAGTAGATGCCTTGTAAGTTGTCTTTAATTTCTGAGAAAGCTGACTGGTACTATGACTGGCTGTTGAGACAAATAAATTTAAAGGAAGATATTTCAAATACAGCATTAGCTTATTTGTATAAGTAACTGGTACTAATTCCCTTGAATAAGATTCTAAGTTTTGGCCAGCAAAGTACAAAAAAAAGCGAATTCAAAAATACTAGTTTAGGATTATTTGTGATTCTTTTACCTTTTGTTTTCAGCTGTCCTTTGCTTAGTTCAGCTCCATCAATTGTCTGTCCTTCGGCAGCTAAACGCTCATTCAGTGTATCAATCTCTCTACGTACTAACAAAACCAAAAATTCACATTAATACCAAAAATTATCATTAACAACATCATTAACATATTATTTAAGAATTGTTATGGTTAGTTGGCAATCTATTTTACGCTAAGGACAGGAAGAGAGATCAACTGTAATTTTACAAAAGCGGGTCTCACCAAGACATAAACCAAGACTCATGCTGAATTTTCCAGAGATCAACCTTGACCCAGATTCCAAGGAAAGCATTGGTGGCTTCTAATTACTGCCACTTTCACTAATAACTGTGGCTAAGGATTAACAAAACAGCTTCTGTGAAACACATGGCACACCTGTATTGAATTAAATCCATCAGAAGACAAAAACTTGCAGCATCATAAATATTTTAGCCACAGAATTAGTATGTCAACTCTATTAATCAGAAAATAGTATTCATCTCTGAATGCCTGTCTACTGTTACAGTTTCAGTAAGAAAGGTAATGCAGCAAATGTCTATTTTTTTATACTTTGCAATACAAAAATGTAGCATGACACAGACATTTTACATTCAGCTGGTTTAGAAACATAAAATACAATCAAAATATTTTCATTGCATATCAGATGAGGCATGCATTCATAACAAGAATATGCTTTTCTGTCAATTATTTGTAACTCTCACCAGTGCTACTTCAACACAAGACAGTGATGGCACATATAAAACAAATCAGGTACTTGTAAATGATTTCCAGTGGCTGGGCTGGTTTGAAGTTGCTCAACTTCATTCTATAAAGAACATTTTCAGTGGCTTATGCTTTTTTCTCAAAATCTGGGCTGATACCCTTTAAGTGTTATCCTCAGGTGAAATCTTATTGAGAGGCTTTGACCAAGTATTTTTTTGCTGTTCCTAAGTCTAGGCCTGTCTTTCCACAAATTCTTAAAATTTTAAAAAAAGTCATTCACCCTCAGGCCTTGAAATGTAGAAGAACACGACACATCAGGAGTGTGATTCTGGCCATTTCTGAGAAATTCACCGAAGTGTCAGTTCTAAGCACTAGAAAAGTCAGTTTACAATTCCATACCACATTCAAGTGCTTGAAATGAGTAAAGCAAGATTCTCTTTCCTGTCTTCCCAGTCACATAAACGTAAACTTTTACACAACACAAATATGAAAGAGAAGTAAACAAAGAGACAGGCTTGTAGAAACAGACGACTGAAACAAACCAGGCAGATACAAGAATTGCCTGAAAAGATTAAGACTGAAGCCTGGAAGGGATAAGAAAAGGAACAGATATAAGTTGTAATAAAGGAAAGGGAGTATATGAAAAGCCAGGGAGAAAAAACTTGAGACGCTCTATGTACAGTAACTGCAACACTACCATAGGCATTAGACCAAGGACAAAAAATAACAGACTGAGCATCAGAGGAGAAAAATTTAGAAATTCTCAGGGGGGTGAAAAGAGACCACAAAGGCCAGGGGTGAACTAGAACTGTGAGGTGAAGAAAGATGAAGAAGAACCAGGAATGGAAGTTAAACAATCGTACTCTTGAGGGTACAGACAGTCACCACTTGTTTTCTGACATTTTTGAAGGTCGGGGAGGGAAATCCTACTTTTCTTGCACCCAGCCAACTTCTCAGCAG